TTCCATACCCTGTATATATTGAAGAGTATTAGTAAAGGGGGTAAGGGGATGCTGACTAAGAGTATGCGACATCCAGAGAGAGGTAAAGGCGATTCTGATCAAGCGATTAGAGCAGAGGAAAAGGGGTTGCACTTATTCTAGTTGGGCCTCATGGATATTAAATAGTGAATATTAATAATATGAAATATTCTGATATAATAAAATAATAATAATAATTAATAATATAAAATATATATATATATATATATATATATTAAATAGTGAATATTAATAATATGAAATATTCTGATATAATAAAATAATAATAATAATTAATAATATAAAATATATATTGAATGATATTGAAGCCAATCCTCTCACTTTATGAAGATACGAGATATGTATAATATATTTCAAGTGCTATTATCAAGGTAATGGCCCCAGCTCCAGGTAAAGAAAGAGCTGAGCTTTAAGAAATATATAACAAAGCTAAATCGATATGCTAGCAGTTAAGACTCTCGATTTACTTATTAAACATTATGTCTAAATGGAAATATAAAAAGTTAGTTTACGCTAACCTATTCAACTAAACATGTAAAGATCATTTAACCCAGTTTTTGGCAAGAGTAGTCGCAGTAGTGATTTATATATAGATGGTATATATATGTATTTATATATGGGCAATTCTCTAGTGGCGAATGTGACATTCGTACATTTTTGAGTTTAAAAAACCCGAATACCAAAACATTTCTTTATTTTAAATAATAGTGAATTCTTTAGGTCTTGATTAGCTCTATAGTTGGTGCTAAATCTGATTTTAGGCAAATGTTAGTTCTCAAGATAATCACAAAATACCAAGAGGTTCGCAGGCTACAAAAAACGTTTTTAAAATGAACAGTTCAACCTGAGATTTTAGCGAAACCTTAAGTGACAATTTATTACGAATAATTTTAAATTTTTAGAAATTTGCAAATCCTTACAATGTCTTTTATTTGATTAAAAAATATTGATTATTATTATTATTATTTTTTTTTAGTTTAGTCAGGGTCGAAGGTGACGTGTCGAATAAAACATTTTTTTACCATACTTCTTTTTTTTAATTAAAAAAAATTTGCTCAAAACAGAACTTTTGCACTTATTCGCCTTTGTGTCTCAATATTTCGCGATCTATTATGATAAATTGTAAAATGGGTTTATATTAGTTAAATTTGATGGATTAGTTATAAAAAATGTGTTAGCAGAACATGCTTTCATTGACTTTGAATGTTTCAGGAGAAATGCCCATTTATTATGTATGATCCCGAAACGTTTTTAGGGCCATTTTTATGGGACCTGGAGCATCAATGAGTGAATGAGTCAATGAGTCAATGAGCCAATGATTTAATGATCCAATGAATTGTAAGTTTTCCTCCATCATACGAAAAACCTAATGTGTTTCCTATAAACTCTCCGCTAAAGTAATCTCACCAGTAATAAGACCTCTTTTTCTTCGGCAACTTAAATTATAAATCGATCAATGTCTATCGGCAAAGGCGATAATTATTGATTGATGCAGATCATAAATATAATTTTCTTTTGCTGCTTATTTGACTAGAGGATATTTCGACAGTCGAATACGCTCGTTTAGAGAAAGTCTTACTCCCTACTTTTGCCATTCTTTCTCCCTCTCCCAGCTTCACTCCCTCTCACTCTCTCTCTCTCTCTGTCTCTCTCTTGCTTTGTATTCTTTTGCTTGTTGTGTTCTGTTTTGCTGCCTCTATTTGCCGCGCCGGCCATAAAAAACAATGGCAAAACAATGGCAGCTACTGAGCCAAAGCAAAACCAGATCCTGTACCAGTTTTTCCATCAACTGCAATCAATTGCAGTTTATTTTCATTTGCTCTCTCTGTCGCTCTCACTCTCTTGTGCTTCTCTCTACGTACATGGGCATTATGAAAAGCGATCGTTTTTCTGGCCGCTTTTCAATTGACCGTTCAAATCGCAACAAGGCTCAGCTGGGATAAGCCCCGTTGTAGCCGCAACAGAGGCCGGCAGGGAGCTCTGCTCTGCTCTGGGCTGGGCACTTTCTGCTGCTTGCTGATGCGCATTTGATTGCTGTTGCCATTGCTGCTGTTGTTGTTGCCATTGTTGTTGTTGCTGGCGATCCTGGTGCACAAAGCGTGTGTAAGTCCTTGGAAAATCGCTTCACTCACTTTTTTGCGCTGCCTTTTTTACTTGCTTTTCAATTTCCTGCAACTAATTGCGAGAAAAATCCTTAAGGAATGGCGCAGATTAGATGCATATCCCAGTACAGATGTATATACAGATATGTTATTGGAGCTGCATGCATGTAGGTATGTATATAGATTTGCAGATGGGTCAGCTGTAACGAAGAGTGCCTCGAGTCGAAAAGGGTGTGAAGTGTTGGCTGCAGCGCGTCCACTTGAAAATCTCGTTATCCTGTCAACGTCAGGCGCAGAGCGCGAAAGATGCCAGTCACGACTCTCGGCCTCTGACTCTTTGGGGATGCGCCTCATCAAGTGGCTGCCCCAGCAATCGGCAGCTGCGGGTGCGAGCGTATCGCTTACCATGCTCAATGAAAAGAGCAAAACAGTCGCCCGCCTACAACCACCAAGTGGATCAGTGGCAGCAGCAGCAGCAATAGAAGCAGCAGCCCTTTTGTCCCATTGTGTTTGGCCTGCTGCTGCTGCTCGGATTGCCGCTCGGGTTGGCTTAGGACGCGGTGTGGTTAAAGCACAAAGCTGAGTGCACTCAAACGCCTCGACGGGACTCAATTGTTTTGAGATCAATTTGCAACTTAATTGAAATCCATTTAAAGTAATGAGAGTTACTAACTTGCCTACCCCTAGCCCAGCAGCCGGCCCTACCCTTTTACGATGTTCCTTCTCATTTTTGGCTAGTCTCGTCCAAGCTGCGGCTCATCCCGTGCTCAAGAATTATAATCCCACGCCACGGGCTGAGCGGTACCTGCTGCTCAGCCGCGGACTAGATCAATTTGCAAAACCCTTTTGTGAAGGCAAATTGTCATCTTGCCGTGAGTGTTGCTGAATGGCTAAAGAGTCCAAGTGTTGGTTAAGGCTTGAGTAGGATTTAATAATGATGGGGCTAGCATAGCACTTGGTATAACTTTAAGTAGAACTTTTTACGATTTAAAGTGATTCAGGTTATATTTATATATAAGTAAAGCTTGTCAGCTAAGAGACCAAGTAGCAATTTAAATTTTTCAATGAAAGAGGCAAGAGGAAAGCGGAATTGCAGTGTTGGCTAACGTAAAAACCGAAGCTTTTTGTGCTTTTAAATGGAAATACATAATATATAATATATAATATATATAACTATTTGCATTTGGTAGTCAGCTCATATTTGGGGCATAAGCAAACAGCAACTAGTGTTGATTAACGAAAAAAGTCAAAAAGTTATTTATAAATTTTTGTAAGAGTAGAAACTTTCAGCGCCTGAAAGTTGTTCAATTAAAATCATAGGTGTTGGTTAATGCATAAAAGTAAAGAGCTGTGCTGCTGATGAGACGGAGCCCTTAGTCCGAAATGTTGAAAGACACCAAACAGCAAGAAAAAGCTTGGAGCTACATTCAGCTAAACTTCTTAACTATTTAATTAATAACAGTGTTGGTAAACGTACAACGCAGGAGCTGCCATTATAAAGAGAAGATCAATTCGCAGCTTCAATTTGCACATTGTGAGTTTGGGAAGCGTTGAAGCGAGCTGTCATGGTAGTGTTGGCAATCGCACAAAAAAACAAAATAAGCTAAAAGAAAACATACACACACACACACACACAAAAAAGTGGGGCATTATCCGATGGAGCTGGCAAAAAATATGCAAATATATATGTGCGCAAAATATATTGGCCCGAAATGTCAGTTGGAGTCCATTAAAAGGGAATAAGTGCGTGCAAATCCTGGCCGCAGGATATTTTCCATATTATCAGCGTATATTACTTCATCGAAAATGAAAAGCCTCGCCCCACGCCCACACAAACGCCCACGCCCACAGAAAGCAGCCAAAGTAAACATGTGTGGAGTGCCAAGGACTTTCGAGTAGCTCATGGGTAGTTGAGGAGGATTGTGGATTGCTTTTTACGGCAGCGCGACATCGCGCCTTGCCTCGCCACACACGGACACGCCCGTGCACACGCAAACGGAAAGAGATGCACAGACAGTAGGAGATAGAGAGATAGGCATAGGCTGGACCACATATAAGTTGATCCCTTGTAAACTCTAAATTGTTTTATGACCATATTGGAAAAGTAGGTGTAAACCTAATTTTCCTTTATAGGCTCGGCCCGACCTGCGCCCGGGCAAAGCTCATGCCGAAAGCAACAGCCGCAACCAATGCATAAAAGGACATTTGTTGTTCCGGATTGGACCGCGCGCACAGCAGGATATGCACTCAATCGGCCGCCTCTTCCGCCTTTTGTTTGAACGCTTGTGCTGAGCCTCATTTAAATCATACCGCTGGTCAATTTGCATTCGCACCACAAGCAAATTGATCCGCCCTAATCCCTGGCCAAGCGAGCAGCGCAGTCGCAACTCGTTCGAGCTCCGGCCCGGGCTCAAGCCCCGAGCCTGGTCAGGATTTTCATTTAAAAGAACAACACAACAATCATTGCCTTTCAGCGCAGGCCTTCGGCTTCCGAAATTGAAGTCAGTCGGTCGACCAAGCAGCGGGTCAGCTGGCGAAAAGGGGTTCCTGAAAAGGATTAATGTGTCGATCCTGCAACATAGTGCTGTAAAATATTGAAAAATGCTTAATTTTTCATTTCTAGTTGAATGTATTTTATTTATCTATACAAATAATATAATTAATAATTACTTTCGAATAATTTTGTACATTTAGTAATTTATTTCCCATTCACCTGAAAACAACTTTTTCAAATTTCCAACGGTCGAAAAAAATTGTGTGCGCCATCTATTTTTCATTTCATTGCAAGTGAAGTGCTGTCCAGCTGGCAACGCTGCGCAGCCCAGCCCAGCTGCTGTTGCTGGCTATCTGGCAGCACTATGACGATAAACACAAATTCGATAGACGCAAAATGTAAAGCAACAAGAAAATAAACAAAATTATGCTGATAACAATAAATAATAATAAGGATTGATACGGACAAGCCAAACAATGGAACTGAGCAGGCCAAAGAAGCGACGCAAGCAGCGCAAACGCAAACACCAACGTAAGAAGCCAAAGGCGTCAGCAACAGCAGAAGCTGCTGCCGCTGTGGGTGCGCCACAGTTGCCTGCCGAGATTTGGTGCAGCACGTACAAGTCTCTGCTGGCGTGGCATCAGGCACAGGTGCGTAGCGTCTGTGGCAGGAGAATGGAGCAGGCGGAAGCTGAAAGCAGGAGTGAGAGGGAGGACGACGAGGAGGATGAGGAAGTGGAAGACGAGGAGCTGGAGGAGCAGCAGTTGTTTGCCGTCCCCGACGAGGTGGAGGAAGTAGATGAGGAATATCTGAAGTTTCTGGAAATTACGCTGCAGCATCAGGAGGAATTGAAACGCACGCGTGCCGCAGCTGCCGCTGCCGCCGCAGAGACTTAACTGCCGAAACCTACCGAGAATTTAGATTTAAGATTTTTAAATTCAAGATTTTATATAGACATACAGTGAAAACTCACTTTAGAGACAAGTTAAGGACCATTCATAATTGTATATAAAAATTTTTGTAATTGTAAATTTCATATTTCGATTGATATGTTAAATGTTAAAATAAGCAAATGGAATATGATTTTCTCTTAATATATGTTAGCTTAAATAAGTTGAAGTACAGAAGGTTAAGAATGGAATAGGGAAAAGCAAAATCGACAAATTATATGATACTGCATTGTATGATACGAATAGGATAACAAACATTTAGAAGAATTAAGCTCTGACACCCCATATATATGTACATAACTCATGCTAAAAGCAAAGTCTATCAGATATAAACTGATTCTGCGAAAGAGTTCCATAGATCTTAGAATAGGTACCATGACCACGTTCCATGAATCTGTTCCGCGAATACGTTAGCTACGTTGCAAGCACACGTTTCTTTAATTATGCAAGCGCATCTCTTCAAAGTTGTTCGCCCTAGAAAACGGTTAGTTAATAGAGTTTTCACTGTAGACAGCAAGAACACTTTGTAATGCTAACAGGCGCCTTTGGCAGGCGACGCGTGGGCGTGGGCGTTGCGTATGCATGTGCAACTGTAAAACTGGCCAGAGGAGCTGCTCGGCCACGTTCCCAGAACTTTTCTTGGCCAGGCTAATGAAGTTGGGAAGACGCACATTAAACTGACCGAGACAAATGGGAAGCCATTTGTAAGCAACACACAAAGAAAGCTTCAAATTAAGGCTGCCAAAACGGATAGAGAGAGAGAGAGAGAGAGAGAGTAGCATAAAGTGAGATCAAGATAGAGGGAGAGAGGTAGGTGAACTGCCATTTCATCAGGGCAAAGCCGAAAATATATTTAACAGTGTAAATTTATGCGGGACGCCCATTAATATTGAGAAGCAGCAGCCAGATCTCTTACTCTCTCGCCCGCTTCTCTCTCCCTTCTTGGTGCTCCCTTTCTCTGGCTGACTGGGTCATCAGCGAGCTTTGTATGCTACTCCAGTTGTAGGCGTGGCAACGCATTAGCCGCCTTTCGCGCCGCTTTTCGACAGAAAAACCAAATTAAGTTATCCGATCGTTGGTCCCAGCCACAACTTACAGCTCACAGCTCAGAGCTCAGACTCAAAGTCCGAGTCATTGGTTTGTGGAGCAGCAGACAGTGGCTACCGCCAGCCAGCCACTTTAGCTGTCCCTGGGCCGCAGGTGTCGCAAACTAGAGACCGAGAAGCGACCTTTCTATAACTGCAAGCTGCATAAATCATGCACTGCAAGCAGGTGAAAAAGCTGCTACTTAACCCATGAAAAGTCTGGGAAGGCCAAACCGAAATTGGGGCTACAACTTGGCACTCCAATTTACTCTTTTTGTTCAGGATTTGAACTGACTGTCGAGGTTAGCTGAGCACATTGGTTTTCGCGTGAATGAAGTCTATTTTTTGTTGTTGCTTTGTTTTTGAGAACGTATAAGAATGTTCTATTAGGAAGATCCAACTAGCAGCCGCAATATGCAATATGCAAACATATAAATATATTTATAATGTTGTATAAAAGAAATTACCGAAGAATATAAATATATTTTATATATCATATCTTTGTATAAAGAACATATTAAAAGAATTAAACAATTTATTATACATATATCCTATTTTTGTATACTGTATCATTTGAATTTTACCTTTAATGTATTTATTATTATATACAAATTAAGAATAAAATTGTATGCACCTATTATCGTGGGGTTTTTCGTTTTGAATCTAAAAAAAAAAATGACTCTAATAATTATTTATTACTATTATTATTAATTATTATTTTTATTATTATTATTTTTTAAATAAAACATAATAAATTTGTTTATTCTATAAAAAAGAGACTGACTCAAATCGTTTGTTATGAAAAAGTTACTATTATTATATGCTTCGCTCAATGTCAACAAATTTCTAAAAAAAAAAGTGTTTCATTTTTTAGATAAGGTTTAAGCTTACTAGAATAAAGTTTTCTTCTTCTTCCAAGCGATTCATAGTGAGAGCAAGCTGTTGCTGCATTGCTTGCAGTCACTCATTTGTGTCAGGATGATGCAAAAGATCATTGAAAATGGCCGCCGGTTCCGGTTGCTAAATGACGCAGCAGTTGGTAAGGTTGTTGCTGTTGTTGTTGTTGTTGTTGTTGTTATTGCTAAGCGACAGCTGTGCGAAGCAGAGAGCAGCAGCAGAGGCCTCTAATTAAATGGGTGTAGCTGCTGAATGCTGCTAATAACCAACAGGGCAACAGCAGCAACAACAGCAACACCAACAACAGCAACAACACAGCTTCAACGAGCAGTCAACGATGTGGAAAACAAACAAGCCAAACCCAAAGGGCTCTGCTCTTCTTCTTCTGCCACCTGTTGCCATCTCTTTTCGCTAATGGACTCTTTCATTCGCTTTGCTGCTAGCAGAGAGATGGGTATATAGATTTTGTCAATCGAAGTGTGATTGGTGCAGAGTGAGCTGCAGTTGCAACCTGTTGCTCTTGCTTCTGATTGAAATCTGTTGTAAAACAATCAAGAATGTTTTGCCTATATTTCTATATACCACATAAATCTGTAGTCAATATCAGAAATCGCGTACTTTATCTTTCAAGGGTATAAAATCTTCGACCTACTATTCTACCTTTTACAATTCTGTTTTTCTTGGCTGTTGTTGTGCTACGTGCTTGGCCGCCATGTTTGGCAAGTTTGTGTCTGAAGTCTTTTGATTTAGCATGCGATATGAAACACCCCCGACACAGCAAAAAGAGATCTGGCGAGATCTTGATGTGTCGCATGTAATGCATATATTTTATGACACACCAGCTGAAAAACCTGCTGCTGCTGCTGCTCGAATGGAGGCCAACGGGCCAGATTGCTGGATGCTGTGTGCGAGAGAGAGAGAGAGAGAGAGCGAGAGAACGAGACAATCTTTGGTGCCAGACAAATTGTTGCCTACAAATCAATTAAATTGCTAATGTAGCGCGACAACAAACAAAACGGCAGCAGCAGCAGTAGCAACGACAACAACAACAACAACAACAACAAACGGCAACAGCGGCAGCAAATCGTGTATTGGGCTCACAATTTAATGGAGCCACATTCCAGTGGCTGGGCAAAAGCGCCATTGTCATAGCCCCAAAGTCAGCCAATGCCGCCAAAGCAACCGCAAGAAATGCATAAACATATTGCAGATTGCTTTTTTTTTCTTCTTTTTTGGCTAGTCTCTGGCAGCAGCAACAACAATAATAATGAGAGGCTCCCCTCTCACAATGGACGCTGGACTAGGCATGCGAATCTCCATGGAGCTGCACGAAATCAAAACAGAAGCAAATTTGCAGGTCAAAAAACCAAAAAGCTCCACGGGATATATATTTTTTTTTTTTAGGTTTGAAGATAATCCCAAATCAAAGCTAGAGAACAAATGCAAATAAATTTATGCGAATGACTGGAAGATGAAGACGGCAGAGGAGGGGGAATTACAGCTGCAGCAATTCTGGCTAATAATAGCTGAAATTGAAGAGCAATAGAAAATGCTAGTTGGGCTTTAGAGACCCAGCGAATTTTATTCTATATATAAAGTCAAAGAAAGAAGCTTAAGAGAGGAAAATATAATTCTTTTTTTTTTTTTTCATTTTTATATAATTATTTTATTGTATTTACCCATAAATATTTTAAATTTTAAATCTATTTAAATATGTCATTTGGAATATATAAATATATATTAGTTTATTTATTAGAAGTTAGATTTTAAAACTCACTTCAGACTAAGCACTGTCTATTAGGGCCTTCGGCTTGCGAATATTTCTGACTTTACCTAAGCTTAGATAAATTAGGAATTTTCCATGGTGGAGTAAATCTAAGAAGAAGCGCTGTAGATTTTGTAGATTACGAAATGAATGAGAATAAAAAGAACATCGGGTGATTATTTTATGTTCCATTGATACCATCGTCTTATAAAGTGCTTTGTCCTACAGTTCAGTGCTCAGCATAAAAGATAATTTTTATATTTATACATCCAAAATTTAATGGTATATCAAATTTATTAAAGCATATACCAGAATGGTGTCGGCCGATTACAGCATTCTTTGCAGACTATTTCTTAACTAGTTTAATAACCAGAAAATCTTTAAAGGTGAAGTTAAGATCTAGAAATCCTTGTAAATAAATGTGGGCCGTATCGATGCTGGAGGCCTTGCAAATGAGAGAAAAGTAGAGCAAATAATATTGCCGTTTCTCAGTTGAGAAAGTCTCATGCTGAAAAATCAGCGACTCTATTGGCATGATAATATCATATGATTTTAATGTTTACCATTAATATTATCTTCAATTTATTTCTACACATAAAAATCAAATCAAATGGAGAACAAAAGAGCAAAGGGAGGACAGCAATGCATAAAAATAATCATTTAGAATTTATTTATGATACATAATTGATTAATAATGGGCATAAATCATGCAGCTATATAATATTAGATCATATCATATAATTTTATTATTTTACAAAACGATTTCTCATTTAGTTTTTCAATCTGTGTGCAGTCGGTGCTGCCTGCGCTCTAATTCACACATTGATATTTTCATGCGTCCAAGCAGCCTCCCACTGTTTGGGCTGTTGTCGTTGTCACCAGCAGCAGCAGCAGCAGCAGCAGCAACAACTGCAATTGTAAACAGGTTGTGTTGCTGCTGGCAATTCTGGAGTTGGCTACACGCTGCTGAGTCGCTGTCGAAATTCATTGAATTCAAAACCAATTTCAAGTCCAGTTTCAAGTTGCATTTGTCTTGAGTCAGTTTTCAGTTTTCAGTTTTGTTTTGTGTTTTCCCATTTGTCGCGATAGAAGGGGCGGCAGCAGCAGCAGCTGTGTTCGGCTGTTTTGGGCGGGGCGGGGCGGTGCGAGGGAAGCGTGAGAGAGAAAGAGATCTCAGCTACAAACTGCGCTTGCACACGCGTTCAATTAGCTGCAAATTGCAAATCGTGCGGCGCATGCGCAACGTCCGCTGTCCAGTGGTAACAACATGTTGCTGCCGCTGCTGTTGCCAGCAACAGTTGCTAATGTGTTGTCAACAGAACTCGCGCTGACAGCAGAATCGAAAATATTTCATTTCAAATTTGCGCTGCGTGTGAGAAAGTGTGCGAGCGAGAGGCAACGAGCAACAGTTGCTGCTGCTGTTGAGGCTCGTTTTGTTTTTGTTGTTTCCTTTTTTAATTGTGCGCACTGAGTTATGTTATAGACACAGAGCTCACATCCTGTGTGCCTGGTCTCAAATGTCGCTTTGTTGTCTGTCGCTCATTCTAAGCACAAGCGCTGCTCGTAACTC